TTTGTTATTACTCATTTAAATAGAACTGATTTTTTGTATATATTACCTAATTGTTTTATTACTATATATTATATTACATCTTCTATCTGTCTTATATAAAGAATATTAATTTAGAAAATCTTATTATATTGTTCTACTACTTTTTTTGACTAGATATTTCATACTTACAATACAGGTTTTTTATTCGATTATAGAGTCTAAAGACTATAACCAATTATCATCATCCTTTGTAAATGAAGACCATGACCAATTATTATCATCTCTTATAAGCAAAAACAACAGACTAATCGAATCTGATTCAATATTTGAAAGTGAAAATAATAGGATAATTGAACTTGATGCAATATTTCTTGTAAGTGAAAATAACAGTATAATCAAATCTGGTATATCATCTTTTGTAAGCGAAAGTAACAAGATAATTGAACCTGATAAAGATCTTGTTTATATTAGTAAAAATGATACTGTAAAAACAACACTTAATATAAATAATACTTTCAAAGACTAGAATGAAGTTGATATAGTTGTTAGTAGATATGCAAAGGAAAATAGGTTTGTTGCTATTAAATATTATTTAGAGCTTGATGTTATTAATAAAATGATTATTCATTATCATATATATAAGTGTTAGAAAGCTAAAACCTATAATCTAAAAAAGGTGAAAGATGTTGTCTTATATCGTGATAGTGATATAATCAAAACAAAATATCAATAGCAAGCAAGCTTTAATTTTGAAAATATACAACTGCTATATGCTTACTATATTTGTTAATAATTATAGTCATCAATATGATCTAGCAACTATAGAATTAGTATCCAAAAATCTGAGATTTCTACAAGTAATTTTGGCTAAAATTAAGCACTATACTATCAATAGATATCTAAATACTGGTTAACAATACAATCTTTTCTTAAAAAATTTTTTTAATATAATATAAAAAAAAAGAATCTATATAATACAATTCAAAAATTTAGAGAAGTATAAATTTATGATAAGTTTGATGTAGTTACGATATTTTAGTATCTTATAGAAAAGCATAATAAAGATTCTGAGTATTTTGTTGCAACACATCTGGAAGGATCAACTAATGAACTTACAGACTTTAATGGATAACAAGTCAACAACATAATAAGCTTTAGCCAAAATATCATGATGTTGTAATATATGACAATATAGCCAAAACTAATTGTTATGAAATAGTGCTTAGTATCTTTATTGGTATTAATAATAACTTTAAAATGATGATTCTTGCTCAGGCTCTAATGAAATATAAAACATTATCTGATTATAGCTGGATACTACAATATACATTAGAAGCTACTGATAATCTCTCACCTAAGGTATTCTTTATGAATAATGATTTAGCAATATTAGCTGCTATACAGGTTT